AGAGCCTAGATTCACAATCTAAGGCTTTTAGAAATCGATTAAAAATCGACTAATCTGTTGCAAGAAGATCCAAATGGGTTTTGGAAAAGAAGAACTCAAACTGAGTTCTTTGACCGACGAGATCATCTTTCCATTCGGAGTTGAGGTACGTGAGTGGTGTAACTTTATTGGAAAACATGATTTTTAAATTTGACAATAGAAAACAAGAGGACTTTTAGCACAACAAAATTATTAAAGTCACAGGTGGTACTTTTGCTACAAATGCGTTTTATGTAAAGAAATAAGAAGATTTAATTTAAACTTTTGTCATAGAATGGTAATCTTATAGGCCCCTGAGACATTTTCAGCCTCAATATTTTAAACAGATCCATACGAGCACTCCTTTTTTTTAATTTAATCTAATTTGATTTATTTTTTGTTTCATCTTAGTGGTAAAGAGCATAGGGTTTGTCTTTGGACTTCGCTATTTGTATATTTGGGATTGACACCCTGAATGACACTCGCTCACAAGAGGGGGGCTCGCAATTATTTTATTGTGTGTGGGCCCCCTTCTTTTGTGAGGGGAGTGTCATCCGAGATTGACATCATCTGGAGTGTCAACCCCGAATGTACAAATAACTTTATTGTTTGTCTTGTTATAAGTAAATCTGATCAAGGCATGTAACCAGCTACATTATTCCGGTTGGTGGGGGAGCTGTAATGATGAACGCTTTTGGAAAAATGGTAGTCTCTTGAGATTATTTCAGAAGAGAATAGGTGGAGCAATGATCAATTCACTTTTTGCAACTAATAATATCCAAACTTCCACGTTTTTAATTTTAAAATGAAATAGCTTTGTTGGAATGGGCAATCCAAATGTCTAGAGCATGTTTGGCTAAGCTTTTAAGCTAATTTTTTTACAGTTTTATTGCACAAGTAAATTCGCTTTCTCAATTGGGACTCATTGAGAACTTTCCCCCATATCGATCAATTTTAGGATGTCCTTCAAAATGTTTTGTTCGACATCGTTTTCAAGCTTTCAAAATTGAGAGGACCAAATTCGTCATTTTACAACTTTTAGAATATTTTTTAATATTAAGTAAATATGAAAAGCTTTTTTTTTTTTTTTTTTTTTTTTTTTAAAAAAAAAAA